AGCAGCGATCAGGCCTCGAAAGAGGTTACCGCCAGAGCAGGCGTGGTGCTGGTCAGAGGTGTCCTGGCATAGCCCCCTGTTTTGAGAGTCATTCTTCCTTTGTTCTTAATTTATTTAACCTGTTTTTGGGTTTGTATTAAACGATGATACTCTTGGATGACATTTTGTGAACACCATGAATTACTTTACTTAGTGTTGGTTTTTGTTTTGTCAAGACAATTACTTATGGGTGTATGAATGATGCATTATGATTTTGCTTAAGTTGTTTTGTTCATTCTTTTAATATTTTGCCTTGACATGTAAGAGCTTTCGAGAGATGGTCTGATGCCTAGGCAAAACACTTCTAGACCTTGTAAGTGCTTTCGAGAGATTATTGTTTTTCTAGAAATTGATTCTTACATTCGAGAGAATTAAGATAGATCTACGTTAGCAATGGAATAGATTCGGGAAGGTGATGTTCTAACCTGCCTACCTTAGAGATAAGGAGGGGGTTTCAATCGACTAAAAGGGATAGACACTTGAGTAGGATAGAAAACGACTATAGTTCACGCTGAGGGGTATTGCTACAACAACAGTCTGACAAACCAAGGGTTGTAGTTAACGTTGAGTAGTATTGCCATAGCAACCGTCTTATAATACTCAGTAATCCTGTATGGAAGCCTAAGAATATCATAAATCCTTCAAGACTTAGAATAATTTCTCCCATAGCAAGACCAACTTAAGTGCTCTGTGAAAAGCCTGATATGTAAGGTTATTGAATATATTCGAATCAACGTGTTTCCTTGTTTATAATATTTTTATTTGTTACTTTACATATTTCTTTACCTCGACAAAACTTTTCTGCAACCATACTTCAAACTTGTTCATATAATCCATTTTAATTGTTTCTCTATTTTGACAAGAATTCAGGAACTATCTCTGACATCTAGTTCTAGTTGTGGAAAAATATCAAAACCCTACCAATCCCTAAGGAGAAGATACTCACTTACCCTTTTATAACTTGATTCGATTGTGTATACTTGCACATATTTGTTGCCTTATCATATACGTTTACAAGCGATCATGTTTTTTGGCGACGTTGTCGGGGATTGACAATTGACTAATTTTGATAATTTTTCCATAACAAAATTTATTTACTTAGTTAGTTTAATTTTTTTATTTTCCTTGAAGGTTTTTTCGTTGCATGACCCTGAGACCTACTGGTAGACCACTAGAACCATTCGAACCTGAGACGACAGTCATTCAGATAAAGGCGATGTAACCAACAAGCTAGAGAGTATATGAATAGACTGCAGTATCAAGGCGACAACAATATGGGAGATCAGGCAGATTCTGACATAGCGGTAAATGTGGTTAGCCTTTGTCGATATTGTACAAATGTGGGGATTCTAACTGGTAACTTTGTTATGTGGGTGGAGTAGGTGATAACTTCGTAAAGACTCTTTTTAGTTTTTACTTAAGTTATTGTTTGTCTAAACATTGTTGTAATAACATATTAACTGCATTTAGGTCATATTTTATGTGGTGAATAAGTTTTGCCTATGTAAGATTTATTTGGCTTTTCTGATACTGTTGAGAAGAAAGGGTTTTTGTGGGTTGTGTGTGTGTGCAGGAAATGACTTAGGAAGAACATTTCAGCAGTGAAAAAACATTTTATAAGGGCTAGTGGAACACAGAAGACGAAGACAGTGAGGAACGTATTTTTCTTGCCAAGGTAAGATTTATCTTGCAAGTCTGAAGTGGATCTGATGAATATGATGTCAACCTGCCAGCTGTCTGATTGACCTCACGTACAATCAAGGCCTTTAATAAATGACCACCTCCAGCTGTCTTTCTATCTATAGCATGGACAAGTTAACACAGGTATTTAGGGAATATTCAATGACACAAAACCCTAGAGAAAATTCCATAAAAATACCCCATTATAGCCGCCAAGAAGAAGGGAGCCAAGGAGAAGATTTACTTTAGGCGTGGAGTAAGCAGTTGTACCTTACCTTCCACCGTCTCCAGCCCGACCGTACTTGGTGCCTCCATAACCAGGCTATAGCAGAGCAGCGGTCAGGCCTCGAAAGAGGCTGGCCTCCAGAGCAGGCGCGGTACTGGTCAAAGATGTCATGGCGTAGCCCCTATTTTAGAGTCGTCATCCTTTGTTCTTTATTATTTAATCTATTTTTGGTTTTGTATTAAACAATGATACTCTTGGATGACACTTTGGCACACCATGAATTGTTTACTTAGTGTTGGTTTTGTTTTCGAGACAATTATTTTATGGTTATGAATGATGCATTATGATTTGCTTAAGTTTGTTTTGTTCATTGTTTTAATATTTTGCCTTGACATTGTAAGAGCTTTCGAGAGATGGTTGAGCCTAGGCGAAACACTTCTAGACCTTGTAAGAGCTTCGAGAGATTGTCATTTTTCTAGAAATTGATTCTTAGATTCGAGAGAATTAAGATAAATCTACGTGAGCAATATAATAGATTTGGGATGGTGATGTTCTATCCTCCCTACCTTAGAGATAAAGAGAGGGTTTCAATCGACTAAAAGGGATAGATGCTTGAGTAGGATAGACAACAACTATAGTTCACACTGAGGGGTATTACTACAACAACAGTCTGACAAGCCAAGAGTTGTAGTTAATGCTGAGTAGTATTGCCATAGGAACCGTCTTAGAATACTCATTAATTCTATCAGGCAGTCTAAGCATATCATAACAAATCCTTCAAAGTTAGAATAATTTCTCCCCATAGCAAGACCGACTTAACTGCTCTGTGAAAAGTCTGAATATGTGAGGTTATTATGAAATATTCGAATCAACGGTTTCTTTGTTTGTCTATTTTTATTTGTACTTTTACATATTTTCTTTGCCTCGACCAAACTTTTCTGCAACCATACTTCACAATATGCTCTTGCTTTAAAACACTTTAACACATGTTCATACAATCCATTCCTAATGTTTCTCTGTTTTGACAAGAATTCAGGGACTAGCTCGTGACACCTAGTTCTAGTTGTGCCGAAATATTGAAACCCCTACTAATCCATGAGGAGAGGATAACTCACTTACCCTTTATTACTTGATTTGACTATGCACCGCTTTTTTTACCTTGTCATATAGGTTTACAAGAGATCACGACAAAATCATCCGCAGCTTGAATCACTTAAAAACCTAAAAAATAATGCAGGAGACCCATATCAGACATATCGAAGTTCTTTTTCATGCAAACTCTAAACTCATGAATAAGATATAAGATGAACACATATATATCATATCATCCACATAGAGGCAAATAACAAGAAAATCATTATTACCTTTCATTTTTCACGTAAAATTGGGTTCATTCTTGCTTCTCTTAAAACCATTTTCAAGAAAGTAAGAATCTATCTTATTGTACCATGCTCGCGGAGCCTGTTTCAACCATAAATAGCTTTTTGCAACATGTATACTTTTTCTTCTTTTCCTTTGATTATGAATCCTTCGGGCTAAAGAACATACACCTCATCTTGCAAATCTCCATTTAAAAATGATGATTTAACATCAAACTGATACACAACTAGTTGCATTTGTGAAACTAAAGCTAAAATAGCTATAACCGTCTCGAAATGAGCAACTGGTGAAAATGTCTCTTCCAAATTAATTCCTTCTTGTTGTATGTATCCTTTTGCCACCAACCGAGCTTTGTATCTCTCAATACTTCCATCTGAGTTATAATTTGTTTTAAATACCCATTTCAAGCCAATTGCATTTTTATCATCAATCAAGTCAGTCAGTGCCCATGTATCATTTTCTATATTGTTGTAATTTCTTCCTTCATAGCAAGCACAATTCCTTTTTTTCTGCTTCGTCAAAGGTCATTGGACCAGCGATGAACAATGCTTGCACTGTCTCGTAAATTTCCCTCAACGATCTAATTTTTCTTGGAGAAGTTTAATCAAAAGTTAAACTTTTATTGCTTGAACTCGAGCTTGATGAAGCTCAATGAGATAAGCTTGATGAGCTTAATGAACCTGAAAAAACAGGTGGTTGCACCTCACTTTATAGAGCTTTATTTTCAGATTGAATTTCCTGTTGACCATATTTTGAACTTTCTTTCCAATTCCAGCTTCCATCTTCGTTGAAAACTACATGTCTGCTTATAATCACTTGCCACTAATAGGGTTATACAGCCTATATGATTTAGATTGCGAACAATAACCAACAATAATACATTTCGTTGATTTCTCATCAAGTTTGCTACGATTCTACGATTTAACCAAAGCATAGGCAATACAACCAAAGACTTTCAAATGGCTTACTCAAGGTTTCCTCATATTCCAAGCCTCGTATGGAGTCCGATTTCATACAACCTTGTTGGTGACAAATTCAACAAGTGAACAGCAGTATCAACTCCTCCTGCCCCAAAAAATTCAGCAATTCTTTTCCTTTCAACAAATTTCTGGCCATCTCAACAACAGTGCAGTTCTTCCATTCGGCAACACCGTTTGGCTCCGACGTGTATGGAGCAGTCAACTCTCTGTGTACTCCATGCTCTTTGCAAAATGGGATAAAATCTCCATATAAGAATTCCCCTCCTTTATTAGTTCGAAGAGTCTTTATACTCAGGACACTTTGTTTTTCAACCAGTGCCTTGAATTTCTTGAAGGCCTCAAATGTCTGACTTTCTTTGTAGAAAGTACACCCAGCTTATGCGACTAAAATCATCTGTAAACAACAAAAAATATCTACTCCCACCAAACGAATTTGTTTGCATAGGACCACATAAGTTAGCATGTACAATTTCAAGACAACTAGATGCCCTTCTAGACTTTCCTGGAGGAAATGATATTTTTACATTGTTTTCCACAAGTGCACCCTTCATAGAACTCTATAGACTCAATTTTGGACAGACCAAAAACCATTTCCTTTTGACTAAACAATGCTAACCCTTTTACATTTAAATGCCCATACCACAAATGCCATAATCTAGACTCATTAGCTTCTTTAACAACAAGTGCATGATTGTCTACACAAAAATTTCAAGTGGGAATAATTTGTTTGGTGTCATGTGATCATCAACAATGAACTGGTCTAACTTCTTATCTCTAATCACATGAGCCATTATCAAATAAAATGGAATACCACTAGCCATAAGTTGCCCAACACTTAATAAATTTTGAGACAGAGTGGGAATGAAATAAAAATTATAAAGAAGCTTTATGTTGCCATGACCGTTGCTGATAGTGATAGCTACTATTCCTTTGCCTTCTACTTGCAGTTGCTTGTCACCACCGAGTTTCACCATCATTTTGTAAGACTCATCAAGTTCCTTGAATAGTAATTTTATTCTAGTAATATGATTAGAGCATCCGCTGTCCAAAAACCAGATGTTAAAGGAAGCATTTGCCTCTTCATGATATGCCATGAACAACTTAAGCTCCTCCTCCTCTTGTTCTGCATAACTAGCTTGCTGGTATTTTTCCAACAATCGACTTTCAAATGCCCGAAGCCTCTGCATTGGTAACATTGAATACCACTTTTGCCTCTGCCTCGACATCCTCTTCTTGAAATCTTCCTCTACCACGACTCTGCTAGCAACATCTCTTCTGTCATTTTTTTGATTGGATGCCTCCCACATGAAAGACTTTTTCTTCATGCTTTCTTCAAACTTGTTTAGTCTTTCCTCATGCGATAGCAATGACCCCATTAGTTCATCAAATGAGTAAGTAGCTATGTATTTCGACTCTTCAATTGTTGAAACAACATGGTCGAACTTTGAACTCAAACTTCGTAGAACTTTTACAACGACAGTTTGATCAGAAATGTCAGTCCATATGACATCATTTGATCGACACTGGTTCTCACTCAAGAAAAATAATCCTGACTGATTCTCCCTTATGCATTTGTAAATTCTCAAAATCACGGCGAAGAGTTTGTAGTTCACCATAATTACTTTAGAGGTGCCTACAAGCTATCTGCAGAGTCATCCAATCTTTTTGCGGTAGTTGCAGTTGTAGTTTTTGAGAAAATAAACTCATGAACTGCTTGTTGGATGAAGAATAATTCTTTTGAATCCTTCTCTTGTTCTTCAGTCTCGCCTCTTCATCATGTTCAGGATACTCGTTCTCAACCAAGTCCCCAACTCTTGAGACCTGAAGAAGGTCTTCATTTTGATGATCCTAATTCATAGCATTCCCTTTGAAAATTGGAAATTGCTAGTTGAGAAATACTCAAAACATTGTTCTTTGTTGTCATAATATTGCGTCTAGTTACAATCTAACTTGGCTCAGATACCAATTTTGTTGGAGAAATATGACTGAACAAAAAAAAAAAAAAAAAAACTCAGAAGCCATTATTGCTGAAATAGTTGACTTCAATTGAATACTAAAAAAGGAATATCATGCCTTTAAATAGGCATTTACACAGCTAATGAACTCCTGAAAAATATGAACTAACCTTAGATATTTTGGCCACATAATGACCACTTATTCTACTAAACTGAAACTAGGAAATCAAGCAATAACTACGAGAAATTTTAGTAACTAATTAACAGTTGTAATGGCATATTCAAATGTTCTAACTTTGAATTATTCTGCAACACCTCATACTTCCTAGCAAATGGCGTTGTTGAACGCAAACATCTTTATGTATAATGCGCCTTCGATTTTGGTCATATGTAGCTATCACTATTGTTATTTAATTAAATGTCTTCCTACTCGTGTTCTTTAACGTCTTACGTCGTTTGAAAAGTTGTTTGGTCGGTCACTGATTATATTATCTCCGTGTATTTGGTTCTTGTTGCTTCCCTCACTTGCGCTTATTTCAAAACGTATAGATTGGCCTCGTTCTTAGTCATGTGTGTTTCTTTGTATTGTCCCCAACATCATGGTTATTCTTTCTTGGCTCCAGATGGGAAGGTATATATTTCTCGGTATGTTATCTTTGATGAATATCTTTCCATTACTGGTGTTTCAGTTCAGTCTTCTACGGATTCTCATGTTCCTCTTCTTTCTTCGACTCCATATCTTGATCCTGAGGCGAGTTTGGTGTGTGGGCATGCACACTTAGGATCCTACCACAAGCACTCAGATGTCAGTTTCTTCTTCTTTAGTATCATATAGGTCTCTGATGTTTCACGTGATATGGTTCACGAGAATATTGCGTTTCACTAAGAAAATTTTAAATTACCGATGGAAAATTTTTGATGGATTTAAAATCTATCATAATTTACTAATGAAAATAATGATTCAATCACAAAATTATGACGAGATTGTTGTTTTGAACTGAATTACTTTTCCATCATAAATTTTTCATTTCAAAAAATCAATTTAATTTATGACAAAATAATAATTCCGTCGGAAATTTTGCTCAACTTTGATTAAAATATACCAATTAGTTTGTGATGGAATAGTTATTTCAACGGAAATTAAAAAATAATTACATTTAATATGCAACTACCTATTTCTCTTTTCAACAACCAACATAAAAAAAATAATTAATTATATGTTGGAGCTGGGATAAACCATTTTCCATTTCTCTTTCCCCCATTCTCCCGTTTTTTCCTTTCCCATTTGCCATTTCTGCATCTTCCCCCTCTATTCTCCATCATTTCCACATTTTCATATTCTCCTGCGGGGCCACACTTTCCCAAATTCTTAAGTTGGAGCTGGGACCACACCAAATCTAGTTGAAGGTAACATCCCTTGAAACTCTTTAAAATCATGTGTTATTTTTTATTTCTATTATATTTTCTATAGATTATTTTCTTACAATTTTTTTATTTGCAAAATTTAATATTTATGGTGAATGAGTTTTAAAGGTGCAAATTTTTCATGTAAGTATTTCTTATTTTTATTTATATTATCTTAAATATTTAATTTTCATTTATATATCCACTTGAAATTATAATATATTGATTTATGCATATATCCTTTAATTTTTTATTTATATGCATTATCTTTTTTTATATATTGTAATTTAGATTGGAGAATATTGTTTGTCTAAATGATTTAGGTATTTACTTTCATGGCATATATATAGCATACTCAATCATCTTGTTATAAAAAATAATTTTTTGTCTACAAAGGTTATTTCCTTGCATATGCTCAATGCTATATATATATATCTATATATATATATAATATAAATTGTTTCCTTTTTTATATTTAGTGCAAGTTGCTTTTGATTAATATAAAAACTTCTTTTTAGTGATATTGATAACTTAGCTATTATTTTTTACATTAAAAGAAAAATAAAATTCTAAATTTTAGTTTTTGGTGTTTTTTTTTATTTTTTAGCATAACTCTAAAATTTTCTACTGAATTTACGAACTGAGGTAAGTTTTAATTTATTGTTTACAATAAATGCTATCAATTTATTAGTATTAGCCTTTTAATTAAAAAAGAGTAAAAAAACAAAAAAAAATAAAGAAAATATTTGTACATGTAACATAGTTTGACAATGTTCTTTTTTGCATGTTAATAAATATTAAAATTAATTTTTTTTACATGTAATTTACAATAATAATACCATAACGTCCTGATTTTTTTTTTTTTAAGGAAATTTAAAAAAAATTATTACTTAAAATTTTACTATATTAAGTATCTTAATTTAATATTACAATAGAAATAGGTTTTGGGTTCAGTATGGATCGATCTTGGATGTACAATTGATAGGCTGATAAATGGACACATTATACTCCTGATTTTGAGCAGCCACTGTTGGAATTCATCATATTTACGTTAAGTAGCCTAGATTTACAGATCGAGGAAATATTAGGTGTCCATGTAATCGACCTAAATGCAGAAAATAAAAGTTTTCGAGATCCAGAACGATTAAAGTTCATATGATCACTGAAGAATTTGTTTCACATTATCACAATTGGGTGCATCATGGAGAGCCATGTTTTTTTATATTGGTTACTATAACCATATGACGGATTTTAATACTCCAGTTCCATAGGATGCATACGATTTGTGTGGTATCATGAATCTAATGAGGTAGATGTTGTTGGTCTTAAATTAAATGCATATAGGATAGAAGATGATCAACCACCATTACTTCAACGCAAATGTTGTACAACATACTTGGTGTTTCTTGAACCGATATGGCTCGCTAGAAATCAATCCAAGTTATCAGTGGTTTCAGAATTAATACAACTTGAAAGCACAGTATCGGATTCCTAATGCATGCTATGTGACCTTTGTCGGATAATGCATAGGTTAATGCCCAAAGATAATTTTATGCCCAAAAACATTACAAGACAAAGAAGTTAGTCGTGATATGGGTTTTCCTGTTCAAAAAAATCCATTGTTGTATAAATGGTTGCATGATTTACTAGGGTTGTGATTTTGAATTTAGCGAATGTAAGTTTTGCGATCATCCTCAGTATAAGGATAATGCTAGTGAAGGATCTAGTAACAGAAATGTGTACAAAAAGATGTATTATTTCCCCTTAACTATTTGGTTACAAACGTTATATGCCTCAGAAGTCACTACTAAGCATATGAGGTGGCATGTTGAGCATCAAACTGATGAGGTTGGTCTCATGTGTCATCTTTCTGATTCTCTTGCTTGGAAACATTTTAATCAGGAGAATATAACATTTTCTTATGAGACTCGTAATGTCAGGCTTGGGTTATGCAAAGACGTTTTTCAACCTTTTGGTCAATCCGGACAATAATATTCTTTGTGGTTGATTATAGTAACACCATACAATTTGCATCATTCTATGTTCATAAAGGATGAGTTCATGTTTTTGACAATAATTATGTCAGGTCCTAGAAATCCAAAATATAATATAGATTTCTTCCTTCAACCCTTAATTGATGTGTTGATATATTTGGGGGAAATAGGGTAGGTAACATCTGATTTGTCAATGAAGTAAATTTTCTACTTCATGTTGGCTTTTTATGGCCTGTCCATATTGCATAGAGGAATCTGAAGCATTTACTCTTCAGCATGGTGGGAAACAATATTGGTTCGATAATCATCGTAAATTTTTACCTCATAATTATCATTTCAGAAGAAAGACTACAACTTTCAGAAAAGGTAAAAAGGTTCTAAACAATCCTCCACTAATTAAGTCTGGAAGTGAGATACTAAACGAGATCGATAATTGGGGTTTTGTAAAAGTGATTGAGATGGACGCCATCAAAATTAATGGCCAATTAGCTCAATTAGGTTGAAAAAATGTAATATCTTTTAGGATCTACCATATTGGTCTTCAAATTTGATTCGTCATAACATTGATGTGATGTGATGCATAGGAGAAAATTGTTTTTGAGAATGTGATAGGGAAGCGGTGGCGGGTTAATGAACGTTGCTCTTGTTGAAGAATCAAACCTAGAAAAGATCTAGAATCGATGAAGAACAATAAGGGATGAATCGGGAAGGTGGTGGTAATAGATAGGGTTCTTTAGGGTTTTTTTTGGTGTTGGAAACAAGATAAAAATAAGATTAAACAAGATAAAGAAAAGATAAATGAATTGCAAATAAAATAAGATAACCAAGAAATCAAAAGATCTCCCTTATGAAGGTGAACGATAAAGATGATTGATGACGTGGATGGATATGTGGAAAATCGATGGATAATGTCCTATCGAGCCCTCCTAGTCGCAATGAAAAGGCAAACGATAATATGGCTCTAACCAACCCTCCTAGTCACGATGAAAAGGCAAATTGGAGTGTGAAGATTAATCTCCCTCACAAGAACTTGAAAGAACTCAAGGAGAAGAAGCTTCGAAGGCACAAGGCAATCAGCACTTGCAAAAACGAACTCTTGTTGTATTATTAATCAAAGAAATCTTGAATTACAAAGTTTAATAAAGCCTCCTTTATATAGGGGCTGAGTTCTAAAGGTCCTAAATAACTAATGAATAAAATAATAATAAACTAAACATATCTTAACTCTAATTCCTAATAAAATAATAATAACTAAAGATAATA